CTCTTTATTCAGATTAAAACCTCGGAGAAAGTTAAAGTCAAAGTGCAGGTGGGTGATGGAGGCGTAGCTAAGAACCCCTACTCTTGTTCCATAAGGACTGTGGTTGATAGAACTGAGTCTGTCGATAACATTACGCATATACCACAAGATTCGCTGCCAGTTTTCCCTGCTGATATCTGGAGAAGAGTCTACCAAGAAGCCAAAATCAAGCGGCCTTCTATCATCTACAAAGGAAAGAAGACTTATTTTATCACAGAGATGCCAAATATGGTTTCGGCAAAAGCAGGGATAGTCATGACTCAGGTAAGAACTAGAGTATAGCTTTGAAGAGTAAACTCTACTTTTCATTTGTAAATCGCTGACAAGAGTCTTATACTGATACATGAGAAGGATCAGCCTTACATGGAGGGCAAGTAACAGTTCCTCTTGATCTTGTGTTCGGTATCTCAGTTCCATCAAGTTCAACGCACCAGCAGCTCTGTCTATTGCATTGCATTGGTTCATAATTTCCCTCACTCCAACACCTTGGAATGTAATCGGAAGATGCGCCACTTCGAACAGCTTCCCAATACCTTCTTTGGCAGGGTTTACGGTACCCACCTGTCAAAAGAGAAAAAAAATAATGAAGAAGTTATACCGCGCTAGCAACAGCCCCCGTTTATAAGGAATGTTATCCAGCGATAACTTGGCATTTCCTGCACAAACTAAACGCTTGCGCCTTGCTTCTCAAACTCTGGTCTTTGTAAGCAACGATACGCTTGAAGTTAAATTTTGGAATTGTAATTAGTTTTCTCTCGTGCGATGATTCGTGTCTCTAAATAACAACTGCATGAATGTGTCTGAGGTGCAGAATTCTTTAGGGAAATGATTTCTACATGAATTATTTCTGAGAAAAGAGCAAATGCTATCTCACTTGTATATGTACACTTCGGTTTTCCAGTTACTATGAATGTTCTTGTATCGCTGATCTCCTGACCATCCCCATTCACACAATAGCAATAGGAGCGGTAGCACTGTACAGGACTGTATGAACCATCCGGACGGCACCGAGGAATAAACTTATCAATGGCGTTACTCCTTAGGGCGTCTTGATACGCTGTCCAGCAAGGGGTTAACGGTGCTCCTATGGAATATGAATCCACCAATAAACGTCAATCGATATCAACTTTTAGAACTAGAAATTACATTTCGCTGTAACACTAAATTTCAACAAAAAAAATTATTTGAGATTACCTCTTCTCGGACATCTAATTGCATTCCTACTTTTAGTTCCAGGTATTTCGTTCCCATTCTCATCAACACACCAACAGTAAACACCATTCTTCTCACACTGCACCTCCTCAAAACTGCCATCTCTCTTACATCGAAAAGCGACACCTGGTGCACCGCTGTAGGTTGGGAGGGCCTTTAGCTGGCATGGAGTCAGTAATCCTCCTGAAAATAAAGTTCCTTTGTTGAATTAAGGTTACAGTGGCTGGTTTCCTGTATAATCGGCGTCTAATGATAGACAGTAGTCTTTGGTTTTGGTTTTCCTGAATCGCGAAATCCAGATTGTGCCATCAGGCATCACACGGAGCCATCACACGAGGGAAAGTGCTTCGCGAAAGCAATACCCTTGGTTAATGTACCTGAAGACTGATGTGTCCACGACTTTAGCGAGGGCTGCCGCACATTGACTTCAAACTCAGGGAAGGTCCGCTCATTTTAAATTTTAATATTGGTCAGCTTCAATCCGCCGTCAAAGGGTTGTTCTGTTTAATTCGTATTTATGTTTCATGTTTGTTAATAGCTGTATCGAGCATCCGGTTAAAATTATTCACTCATTCTTAACATACGACGGCGCTACCATGATTGCAAAGTACACTTTTCATATTAAAAGGCGATTGGGCTAAAATTGAGTGACACGCGCCCATCTGCGAAGTGTTTAAATTATTTGATTTACCTTCTTTTGAACATTTCGGTAGCCCATTGCTGCTGTAGACGCGTGTATTCGACAGTTGTTGTCCATACTGATCGACACAAAAGCAGTGATCACCATAACATTGACGCCAATTAAATCCACCGTCAGGCCGACACCAGGGGATATACCGACCTTGAACTGGGTTCCTGGACTGCTCCATGTAACGTCTTTGACAGTCAGTGTATTTAGGTTGAGTAGCTGTTAAAAATGACGAAAAATTAGTGCCAATGTTAGATTCAAGAACGCTGGAAACGAGGCAGACAATGCATAATAGTTTGTCTTTCATGTAAGTAAGTTCAACTTGATCTCTCTAAAATATACACTTACAAATCTGTCATAGTTTATACACCTGTCAACTAAATATTTTAGTGTATTACGCAATTGATATACCTGGATCAGGACACTGAAGAGTTTTGGTCGTTCTTGTTCCCGGTATTTCATTCCCATTTCTATCCACGCACCAGCATTGTCTAGATGCTCCACTACATTGCAGCCCCTGATATCCACCATCGTCTTTACAACGCGGAATGTAGCCTCCAAGTTTTGGATTTTGAATTGCTTTTCTGTATGCTTCTTGACAAGGCGACAGCTTATCTGTGTTTACAGGTTAAATTGTACTATAAGCATCCGACAACTCAAAGATAAAACTAAGTAATGAAACTATGAGAAACAAATGCAACATACATGGTGCTGTACAGTTTGGTTTGCCGGAGGCAAGAGGTGTCTTTGTCCCAGTTATTTCATTGCCATCCTTATCGACACAAAAGCACACGGATCCACGGCATTGTACATCAGCATAGCTGCCGTCTAGTTTGCATCTTGGAATAAACCCATCAACGGCGGTATCTTTTGTAGCGGCAACGAATTCTCTCTGGCACTTAGTCTCCTTCTTATCTATTTATAAAATGAAAATAGAGTGAACACGATTAATCATGATCATGATTCTGTAAGGGAATTGCCGTGCTAGAGTGGTATAGAGTAGTTCGTAGTCAATAGATTCACTTGCAAAGAGTGATGCATTTGTCAACCAAGCAAGCCGGTTTTCTTCAAAATGCGAAAAAAATTGTTTTCCAAGAAATGTGGTTGTTAGTGGAGGTTTATTTTACTTGATATGAATTACAAACACAAACCTTCGCATGCTGCCTTCTGTATTACCGTCAATATCGTTTTCAACTCTTTGAAACTATTCACTCTAAGTACTTTCCCAGGATCGGATGCTATTGTTTCCAGTTCATCTCTCTTGGCATTCTTTCCAACACCAATAGACCATACTTCTATTCCTTTATCTTTCAGTGGTTTAGAGGCGATATCCAGAGGAACGTACGGACCTTTTTTGCCATTAGTTGTTTGAGCACCATCCGTTAACACAAAGCAAACCTAATATCAAAGAGACGGATTTATGAGCGATTAACCTTTTAACCCCTAAGAGTGTCTAGCATCTAATTTCTCCTTACCGTATCACCCTTGAATCAAACATTAAGGTCATGAGAATAAAGGAGATGATCACCAACTAAAGAAGCTTTTGATTGTTGAACAAATTCTCCTTGTCAGAGCTCTGGGAAATGTGTAGTGAGTAGTATGGAGAGTATGCGTAATGATGTTAGGGAGTAAACGGTTAATATAATTAAATCGTGGTCATTTAACGGAGTTACAGATGTTCGACTGATGCCAGGTCTAATTGAGATTTAAATCGTTGACTTAAAGGCGGCTATTCTCGTTATAAAACCTCAGTGCCGCTCGATGACTCCTTTATAACTATGAAAAGCGGAATTAGGACCGACACAACCTATAGTTCTCAGTCTTCGAAGTAACCGCTCCTTAGAACGAATGAAATAGACTGAACCATGGTCTTGAACCATAGACTTGAAAATAACCAATCAAAGAAAGTCGTGATTCTGGCAATGTTTCCTTGAAAAATATGCCAGTCACTTTTTAGAATCCAAGAGTATCTCGGTATATCGAACACACTTAAGGGCTTTAAAAGACTGAGACTCGGAAAAAGTCTCAATTACCCTACGTCAGAAATTCAGTAAGGGAGAACCCTTTATATAACCAACAACAACCCATTAGTGTGAAAACAGGGAAAGAAAGGGACTGCGAGGACAAAATACCCAAAACAATCACCGCGACCCTTAGATATGCTCATTATCTAGCCAATAATACCCACGAGAAATCAAAGCACATCGCACAAGGTTGAATTCCCAATTTTGTTACGATCAAATTACGTTTGCTTGCATCAATACCTTTCTAACCGCCTGTCTCATTCCACCTTTGTCGCTAAATAATTCCTCGTTGGCAAGTTTCAGTGCCCTATCGATGTAGGTGAATCCTCTCTGGTGTTTTATTGCGTCAACAAACTTGTGCAATTCTTTCGCATTTAGTTTGTCATTTGTCAGAGTGTTGAATCTGAAATCAACCTTTGGATACGATGAGTAAGAGACAGAGGCAACGTGAGACCCCTTGGGGGAGACATTCAGCGATGAAATTGCATCCTTGACAAAAGCAAGCAGCCTTTTCCAGTTAGATCGACCAATACTTCCAGAAGAATCGAGAACAAACGCTAGATCCACAATAGCTTTGCACTTCTCTGTAAGAAGGTAAGAAATGATCTGTGAAAATCGTATCATATAAGTAACGTTTATCTTCAAACCTAATTGCTTGATCTCAATCAAAGTTTAATCCCGATAAAAATGTTTGAATGCACCAAAATCTAGAGACAAAAGTGCGAGGGAATTCACATGATAAACTTCGGTCCATCGACTGGCGTGGATATTAAGTCGTTTACCAGACAGCGCCTGGTAGAACTTACTTGTTTTTCGCGCTTTGACCTACGAGACGTATTTTCAGCATTTACTCCAATTGCACTCTGACGGAATTTTTTCAGAACCACGTGCACAAATAGGTGTTAGCGAGGCTGCACAAACGAAAGGTTAGACTTAAGTAGACAATTTTTCATTCTAGGTATTTTTGCGTCAATTTTACCTTTAAACTCCGGTTCAACGCAAACACGTCCACATAGCCGATCACAGCATTTCATATTTTCGTCACAATCGTGATCAACTGAGCACTCGTCGGTGGGAAATGGACAGTCTGATTGGTCACTAGGTGGAGCAGGACACGTGCCTGGCTTATCTGAAATGTGCATAAATTCATGACTCTTAATTATAACGTGTGATACACACGCAAAAATAACAAGTTTAACATCAAGAAATCCATACCATTTCAGGCAAGATTTTTAGCCATTTCCACCCCGCCCCAGCCCCACCCACGCTCTCTCCTTCCTGAAAATTTCATCTCAGACAAGTATTGAATTGACATGTCGATACTACCATACTTCACAGAGTCCCTCAAATGCAGCTACAACTTAAGTGTATCTCCTGATTATCCATCGTAGAAACCAGTGATTTTATATCTGAAACGTGCCGATTATGGTGCTGAGAGTTCAAGTGATAATCGTTCGTACCTGGAAAAACAGGTTTGACGCACTCTTTTTTGCAGCTCCCTTGGCAGCATGTTGTTGAGCAGCACCTTGTTCCCGGTGGACAGTCATTATTTGTAGAACATTGATCATTTCCACATAGGTGTTGTGCAACGGATCGCGTCCGGGGTGCTGGACAAATTCTGTTGTCTGGTACTTCTGCAAAAAAAAAAATTGAATAAATCGTCAAATCCATAATCTAAAACATAATCTAAAACCTAAAAAAAAAAAATAAAACCTAATTTATGCCAAGAGCTCAAACCTACCTTTCTTCTTGCACACAGCTTCGCACGTTTCCTTGTTGAGAAAGTTGTTTGAATTTCCTGCACAACCAGAGTATATGAATGGAACACATTCTTCCACATTACTGTTAAAATTCCACCGAATTATCAATCTTGAACAATTTCCAACTGCGGCAGGCTCGTCACAAAAATCAACTTCTGCTGGAATAGCTGCTGCAAAGAGAAAGAAAAGCTGTCCTTACAAATATTATAAGTCAAAAGAGAATAATCACAATATATTGACGGACATACTCGGGGGATGACATACCTCTTGCCAGGTATAAATAGGTAGCACACTTTGAGGAACTTTCGGGAAAATATGAAGATATGTTCGATTAATCAGCGGTGGTAAATGTCTTCTACAGGGAAGGGGGGACACTGGGAAAGATCAATTAAACAAACAAAGAAAAAGGCATCCAAGAAACAAATAGCTGGAGAAGCTACGCTTTACTGCACTTACGTTCGATTGTAACATTAACAAGCGCCCTAACAACCTGGTTTCCATCTGGTCCACCAACTGCCTCGCAAGTGTAAACGCCACCATCCCCTTTAAGTACGTTCCTGAACGACAAAATGTTTCTAAAAGGGCGTATTCTCGATGGTAGTGGTCCACGGTTTGGAAGCAGCCATGTGTACGAGATGACAGTTCCTTCAATTCGACATGTAATATTACCACGTTCCCCTTCAGTCAATTCTTGATAATCTTCATGAGTCGGACTCACCTTAAAGGGTGGTTCTAGAGATACAAAAATATTGAATTACAGAGAAATTCCTTTTTTTGATTAGTTCATGAATGATATGTTTGCAAGATAGTGTAATTGTTTTAAATGGGAATTATGATAACACATGTACTTCTCCTCCATCTTATAAGTCCTTTTTCGTACACAAGTTTTGTGTACCTTAAAGGGTGGTTCTAGAGATGCAAAAATATTGAATTACAGAGAAATTCCTTTTTTTGATTAGTTCATGAATGATATTTTTGCAAGATATTGTAATTGTTTTAAATGGGAATTATGATAACACATGTACTTCTCCTCCATCTTATAAGTCCTTTTTCGTACACAAGTTTTGTCCTCTATGTTACAAAACAAATGGTTCATGCTCTGCATATATGGAGTTATGGATTCACTTTGGAAGTTTGAGTAGCTCTCGGCCTCGTATTAACCATTCCTTGTGCTCCACTCGTGCTCTCCGAAATTCTTTCCTTGCATCGATATTTCGGTATACACAAGCTATGCATGAGTTGTTCAATTTACCTGTTGGAGATTGCGTGATGGGCGGAGTGGTTGTTGTTGGTTTGACCACCGGTTTGGAACCACATCGATGTAGGTGTTTCATCTTCAGAGTAGTGTCTCCGATAATACACGCGGTTCTCAACAATTCACAAAGGTTTTTGTAGGTGATGCCATCAGTTCCGCAAACACGTGGAACTCGACGATTTCCTATGCAGCGTGGAGGACATAGGCATCTGGATCTGGGACCATCCCTCAAGCAAATCTCTCCATGCCCGCATTTTTTTCCAGCACAAGGATCTGGAGACGAAATCAATTTTTCGCTATGTTCACCTTTTCAAACATTCGCTTGTTCCTCAAGAAATATTCAAATGGCGCAAGTTCTTACAGATATTTTGGCATTATTATGGCCCAAAGAAATCAACGTGCATGTTGCACAAAGTATATGCGCCGTTAGCATACTACAACTTCGTTAAATATGATATCAAATCTATGATTCACTAAAATCCAGTTTCGTTCGAAAAGTTGTTTTCACCGAGTCAAACATATCCGATAGTAAAACTTCTTTATGGCAACAACTTGAAATTGCTTTTCTCACCATTTTCTGAATCTTCGTCAACGCAGTAAGCCGTCCCACACGAATGGTAGCAACAGATTCCTCGTCCAAGACAGTCCGTGTTTGAGGAACAGGAGGTGCCTCTCAATGGACAAGGAAGGTTTTGCCACAATTTACATGTGCCAGACTTATTAAGTTCATCTATTCTGTTGTCAGGTGGTTCATAAAAGAGACCTAAAGAGTCAAGGAAATATCAAATCAGCATCCAAAAAAGTTTGAAATGTGCACGTGTGGAAGGATACGAGAAGGGTCTCATTAGAATGAAATCCCCTTAATTGACGGTTAAATAACAAGGTAATTTAGTATTATCAACTCAGTGAGTTGATAACGCAAACTGGCCACCATATAGAGTTAAAAGGCCGACGTTTCGAGCGTTAGCCCTTCGTCACAGCGAGTAAGGGCTAACGCAGAGCTCTGACGAGGGGCTAACGCTCGAAACGTCGACCTTTTAACTCCATGCGGTGGCCAATTGACGTCATCAACTCAATCGATGATACTAAATTACCCTGTTATAACTAAAAAACAAATTGTTTTTCAGGGTAGACGGTTACATCTTAGGCCAATTCATGGTTGATTGGTCAACCTAAGGACATTAAGACCCTCAGGAATGAATTGCACAGTACCTTTGCCTCATTAAAAGAAGGCGTACCATGTAATGGCTAGAGAGAATTGTACGGGAACCATCTGACGGACAAATAACATTGACAAAATGTGCGAATGGTGCACCCATTTATGTTGAAACAAACGACACATTATAGTCTGTTTGTTATTCTTTTGCAATCGAAATAAACCACATTAACGGTTCACCTCAAAAAGTGAACTCTTACTGTGGGTAATTCCATATATAATTGATTTCACATGACTTCTTCAAAAAGTATCTGGACTATCAGGGTGATTTTTTTTTACTTCGTGTTGCTCAGGGTGCTGTAACAAACTTGGTTATTGAAAAGAGATTTTTATCTGTTTTAGTTTGATAAAATTAATTTATACCATGAAGCGTGGCTGTTGTTGCGCTTTTGAACTTGTGGCCATCTACCTCGTGCAAGAGGCACTCGCGTTCAAGAACGATTAATTAACCTGTTTAGATTGTGCTCTGCTCCAAGTCAAAGGAGACGATGACAGAGGAGACGTAAAAGTGCCTGGGCACATTTTTCTCCCCAGACCCCCATTGCTTTAACAGCGTAAATACGTATGCGTATTTTACCAATTCAATAAATCAAACTTGAGGGAACTTAATCTAATCAGTCAGTTTCACCATATTGGCACTCCGATACATATCAGTAAATTTCTGATCTCAACCGCCCAGAAGTAATTTGGCCGTCCAACGAAGTTATCAAATATCCATAAAGCTATTTAGATCAGATCCTCTGGTATGCTTGGACTTGCCAAGAGATAAGAAAGACAATCTGTATTATCTGGTGATAATACGGCTGATCTGAAGGGAGAGGGGGAGGGTGAAGGGGAGGAGAGAGAGAGAGAGGAGAGAGCGGGAGGGTGAGGGGGAGGAGAGAGAGATGAGAGAGGGGGAGATGCGCAGAATGGTAATTTATTTTATTCATACTCATGGCTGACAATCGATTCAGCGTTGCCTGGCAATACTTTGTACAAAAGAGTAACTTTTTCATGTAGATGAAATTCATGATCACTTTATATTCTTTAAGTAGTTTATGGCCTCTTCCCGAACTCCCACATTGAAAACATAGGATATGAAAATTTATAAAAACAACGCGACATTTTAATCAAAGTGCGTCTGTCAAAATTATAATTGATACAATATGAGATCATGTTGAAATAGTGTTCATAGGCTGGTTTAAAAGGCCCCTCTGGCAAGTGGCACGATATCATTCAGATAATAACACATGGATAGCAGCTGTATGAATTCTCTTTATATTTTGAATGATATCTTACTGCGAATCCCTATTTCTTTAATTAGCTGGGGGAAGTCATATGGCTAAAGAACCATGTGTTCAACTTTGTGTTTTTCAAAGAAACTGCGAACGTTATCGTAATAAAGAGAAGCTAGATAACGACTTTTTAAAAGGGTGCACACGTGAAAACCTCAATCCCATATAAATATTTCTTAGGAAATGATGTGGGCATTTTTCTAACCATAACGGTTGTTCCGTGTCAATCGGAGAACACCACAGTTACTCTATTTTTTTTTTTTTTTGTCAATTTTCCGAAAAAAATTTGAAGCAAACGGCAGCAGATCAAACTATGCTTGTGCTTTCTGTGCAAATAAAACTCGGTGAAGTGATTCGCCTGACTCTCTAAACATCGTCTCTGCCATTTAAACGCGCGTATAGCAATCAAATCTTTGTTCGAGCAAGTATAGAAAAAATTCTGAAAAAGGACTGCAGCTTCACTTGTGGGATGGTTATTTACACTGGTAATAAACTTGTGTTATGCACATTGAACAGATTATTCAATAAGCGCAATAAGAGATGTGTTTTACCTTATTCAAGGGGGGGAGGGAGCGCCCTTATCTCTCCCTTGGTTGGTCGATTGCGTTACAATCTCACGTCTCAAACATATTAGTCTCAACAAATAAGTACTTGAATAGTTTGATGAGTTGAAATGTAAACACATATGGAGAGAAATAATCATTATTGTACTTTTTTCTCTCTTGCCTCTTAAATATAACAACTTAGCCGATGAAAGTGGCTCCCCTCTGGCAAGTTGCTTTAAAACACAAATTCCACGGTGCATGTTTTCAACGTCAAATCGCCTAAAAAAAGCGTAAAAAAAAAGCATCCCTTGGTATGTGTCGACGCGTCAGGAAATTCATGTGGAGAGCCTTTCATTGCGTGCCAGATCTATTAAAATGCTTTACGGGCACAATTTAAATGTCGAGTCGAAGATCAGGGCACAGGGCAAACTAAATGTACTGGGAAAAACTTGACGCTCCGAACCATCTTAAGTTTTGGTTACCCTGCCTTTGTTCGGTATTCGTCCCGCGCAGTACAATTTTCTCCGCAAATACGAAAGGAGCTTTGTATTAGTATGCGTTCTTGTTTAATCATGCTTGTAATATTTGGATGAACGAAAGCTTCTTTGAAATTGTCGTGTCATACACCACACACATCTGTATCGCTGAAATCAGCACGCGATCGAGAAAAACGATATTCCTCTTACAGATTGATCTCAAGATAATATCCACAAACAAGAAAGACCAGAAGAACGATTGTATCTATTTTGCTTTCTCTTCATTGATTTTTTTCTCGTAAATTTTCTTTTCCACGGGAAACTAAACAAATTCAAATACACACCTCATGGGTGTGTAAAGAAAGCCCATGTGCCAAGAGATGAAAATCCCTTCCGGTTTTAGCTCCTTTAGCGTGCGCTGATGCGAAAACATAGAGCGTAACTGTTTTCTTCGCTCATTTTCGCTTTCGTAAGTATAAACCACACCGGAAAGAAAAATTTCTACCACGATTAACCTCCCCATCGGTAAATAATTGTTCAATGTGAATTCAACTTGATGATTGTGCAGTGACAGAAAAGGAAAGAGTTTGATTAAATTGAACTGCAAAGTTCAAGAGCCGGAAATGTCCAGAGTTTCTCTCTGATAGTCTAGAGTGCTTTGTGAATATAGTTTGAAAATTTCAAGCTTTGATAACTATCGTCCCTTTTATGCTCATGCACTTGAATAATTCTTGGTAGCATTCCAGGTTTTTCTAACGGGCGAAGAAAAGAAGACCGAATGGCAAAAATTGAGAACAGACGATTAACGCAGTTGACCATAACAAATTTACTTTTAATATCAATTTATACATGGTTCTACGTGGAGGTTTCCAAAGTATGTCACCAAAATATGTAGACAAAGAGAAGACTCGAAGCAATTTGGGGAGTGCTGACTGACAGTTAAAATTCATCGAGATAAACAGTTTTTTTTTCAAGAGGAGCATGTTTTTACCAATCGTCTTTCACCGCAAATTATGCAATACATACTTCTGGTTTCTTACAGCATCCTCTCGGACAGAAGGCACGTGGTTCACTAATTACTAAATATGGTGTCTGTGACTCAATTTTACTCGAAACATGCAAAACTTGGCAATGATAGGAAGGCTTCAGCGTAAATACAGAGAAGAACTTTAGGGCGTGAAACATTTGCAGAATGCGTCACGCAGTTGTAACGAACGAATAATTTGACAGCAGAGTTTTTGAATGGTGAGTGACAATTCTAACCCCCGATCGGTGTAGTACATGGAAAGAAGCAGAACCCGACCTTCTAAAGAACTTTGCGTACGCTGTAACTGGATTCCAGTCTTATCGCATATGAGTCTTGATTGCTACACGCGTTTAAAAATATATTGATATCTTACGGGAATGCTCTGTAAGCCCAGAATAGTTCGACACTGTATCTTTCCAATCCCATCTCCACACTTCTCACTTTTTTAAATAAAGGATTGCTGCTAGACGCTGGTTGATAAGCAAATTAGCAACCCAAGCAAACATATTTTCTCAACAAGCGGAACGGTGTGCATCGTGCTTGCTCACGCTGCAGTGTATTCTTAACAAAAAACAAGTTAATTCCATCAACGTACCTGAGGTCCCTCGAATTAACGTGTAACAGCACACCAGGATCGCTACCGAAGCCCTCATTTCAAAGCCATGAAAAGCCAAGTGTGATACTTTTAGACGTACAGAGGGTCGGCTCCGAAATGCACCCCGACACAATCATGAAATGATTTTATTGAAAGGTTTTATTGCACAAGATCACATTTCAACTCAAAGAGCGATTGTGTCTCATACCATGGGAGGGCGTCTAATGACACTTGTCAAAATCTTATCAGCGGCAATATCACCCACTGGAAACACTCCTGCGCACGAAACCGTGTACCCAGAGTCTCGTGAAAGTACATTACGAACAATTGTCACCGTAATAGTTCCTTAATGTTAATCTGAATTATACCAAACAGGATTAATAGTCTATGAGGATTTTCCGCCTCTTGGGGTTTCCTTCCAAATTCCATATCAATTCCCACGCAGTGAGAAGTTCCAAAGATCTGACATTTACTCTACTGTATGACTAAGCCAGTAAGAACTATTAAAAAACATTTATTCGGTACCGTGTGAAAAAGTAATGTTCATGCTTCATTATCGATCCCCAGTCTGGGTTCCGGGACGGTCTCATCAATCAAGCAGGGTTCCGTCTTTAATCGTCGCGGTCGCCTTAGAGAACACAGCGTAACTTAAGGTTGTAACTGGAAAATACCCACAATTGGTAAGTTTGTGAACAACGCGTTGCAAGCGGGAAAAGTGTCCATATTATGACGTCCGCAAGATCTTAAACAGTGTCGACCATAAAACCCTCTAGGTACATCTTCCAGAATTATTTCCTAAAACAGATTTGTGGGGGAAGAAGATTTCAAAAGGAAAAGTTGGCACTTTTCTTTTTTGAGGGAGGTAGGAGATAGCCGAAGGTGTTTACTGCCCCCCACCCGTCTGATGAAAGCCAGCGTGTTCATCATGTTTCGCAAGAACGATTTCACAAACTCGTAAATATTGTACTAGAGCACTTAGAGCAGTCAGATCGCTTTACAACTCCACGTGGGAAAACAGATAACCCGACTTTGCGTCTCTATGTTTAGGCGATTATTTACTTTTCTACTAAAGGTTATCGTCCAATATCTGCAATCTGTTTTCAGTTTTGTCGAGTTTGCCTCTTTGTTTTTCTCGATAAGTGAGTGTAAAACGTAGAAATGTGTCAGAAATAGCAGAAATACATTTTCAGACTGCTACGCTACGAGTGCGGATGTCGTCCTCTTCATTTGTCAAGGTATTTTGCAACGGCAGCTTTACGGCTCGACCTCAGGTGATAACCTCAAGGAATCTTGCAATTCTTTCAGCCCTCTCATCCCTTCATTCCGACCAAATGTCCTCACGTGAGGATCACCTCATACAATAGAAAACCTTATTTTTTTCATTCAAGGCGCTTTTCGTTATCGAACACTCTTATCTGCGTCTTGAAAAAGTCACATCAAAAACGGGTACCGCTGTGCGGAGGGTAGATGTGATCTTACGTCAAAGAAGAGTTGACCCTTGATCAGTACTCCTGACACATTGATTAGATTCAGGAATTCATTAAGCTGATTTGTTATTACTGCAAAACAAGAACTCCATTTTCACTTAACTCTTAATATTTAGAATTCTGATGGTAGTAGAAGAAAAGTGCCAGCTGCAGCTGATTATAGCATCGCGCGCAAAAAAATTAAATATAAATCCTTGAACGCTAGACTGTAAGGATTCACCGATTTCTCACTAAAATCATAGCTTTATGAAACTATAAAATGAAATATAAATGTTGATTTATATCGTAATAATGCTTCTGGGGTTGTCTATGTTTAAATTTCACTTCTCGGGTACTTTGTTCATTTACATTGAATGTTGGAATTCCCGCAAATAGCCAGACATGTAAACAAGATATATTTCATTAAATCGACGTAAAATGGGGCGTGTTTCGACTTGTTCCCGGTCAATACTAATACCTAAAATCTGTTTCTCGTTAACCTTTCTCTATTTTGTTTTTACTCCCAGGGGAGTCAATTTTTTCCCGGAATGTTTGAGTGTTCCAAGAATTGCAAATTGTCGATAAACACATATTTGCCATTAGGGCTGTCTGTGAAACGTTTCCCTCTTTCTCTGTTTGTACTATGATCGACGATAACGCGAAGCAGTAACAAAAGAGGAGCAGAAATTGACGAATGTAAACAAGGGAGAAGGCAGTGTACAAGAACTGATACCGTGAGAATATTGTGAGGGGGATATGGTCAAGGAAGGGAGGGTCCCCTCTTAAAATAAACGTGATGTCAGGTAAGATAAAAGGATTTTGAAACTTTGAACTATGTAAACTCCATTTTTATTTACCTAAAATAAAAGCAATGTATTTTTTTGTACTTGAATATAACAGGCTCAGTCAAGGAAGCCACTTCTTTCAGACAGTCATTTCTTAACTTGGAAAAAAGGTACCCTTTCACATTCTTATGAGCAGAGAAATTAGATTTTTTCAAGTATTTTACTTGATTGTTCCCAAGATATATGTGAAATAATTTCCACATGTGGATAGGAATTGTCACTTTGATCTCAAAATCATTCTAAATCATCTTATCCTTAAATTACAAACAAAATTAAATCGTCTAAATCACATGTGACGCATGAACGCTGAAGAGCCGTCAATTATCTTGATGAAAGGGAGCCGACAATCATCAATATGACATAAAAGCAAAACTTGACAGTCATCTCATAAGCTGCTTTTCCGAATTCGAGAAGACAAACGGATTTCTTATCGATAAACTGGAACGGAGGGGTGGGGAAGGGGAAAGTTGAAAAGTGATAGCATCACTTTCCACGGCTTTACGTTGAATTATTTTGTCACCAACAGTAAACTGAAATGTGTTATCTTTTTCACGCAAAAGATTTGTTAACATGGCGCTTCCTCTGAATGACCCAAGAGCTTTATTCTAACCGTTCTAATGGCAATAATAATGATAAAAAAAACAATACACAAAAATAAAATATAAGAATAACTTTCCACGCTGAGCCAAAAAAAATAACACACACATAAAAAAACAGTGAATTAAAAGAGTAGCCTCCCCTCACAATGGAGATTAGGCTGAGTATTCCGGTAAGTGTCGGGAAACACGAGGATTTTCGTGTTCTCTCAGTACCTTATTTTATTTTTCCGGCAAACGAACTGCGGCTTAAGAAATGAATGTGAGAGCGACTTTCGCAGTAGTGAACACTACTTACGCTGTAGTGAAAATAAGGCCTGAAAAAGAAAATTCGGGAATTGAACCCATGACCTCTGCAATACCGGTGCAGGGCTCTACCAATTGAGCTAACAAGCCAACTGGGGGCTGATTATTATGTCGGTTCGTAATTATGAAACTCATGAAGTGATGCGTCAATATATGTAAATCATATTTGTAAACTGCAGTTCAAAAAATTAATATGAAAACACTACTTGAGTAGTGGTTAACTATCCATCACAACATATAGTTGGACAGTTTTACTAGGCAAGAAATCAAGTACGTTTTTGCGAAGGCGTCACGTTGACACACCAACAAAGCCACAATAACATTTCATTCCGCCTGTTAGGCGGACATTTCAATATTGATCTTGTTGCAACTAAACATTTCAATTCCAGAAGTGACGAAAATGATTTTTTCTAAGGGATAGACAGGAGAAGAAAGAAAAAGTTTATCTAGGGGTGATTTAACTGCACTTCTCATTCCTGATACCGTTGATAATTAAAAAGGATAGTACAGTGATAATGGTAATAATAACAAAACTCGTGATTATAGAGATGATGATAATAGTCATAATGTTTAATACATTCGTTTATTTACAGGAATAGACTCATCAAAAAAGCTGAAAATACTGAAGCCCTAAACTGGCTAAAAATTCCTAGATATCAAGTAATTCACAACGTTACATAACACTAAAGTTAGTCGATTAACGAAAGAATCTTTTTAAAAAACATCACAGTCACTCGGGAAGTGCCATCCCTAAACTGTTAGTGACATGATTCGTTATATGGGCGCTGCTCTGATGAACACTTTACCACTTTCTAAATCTAAAGAGAGTTGATCCCGCACCGCTTGTTAATTGTCAATCTATGAAACCTTCATCCTTTCATTTATTGACAATAAATTGATTGGTCTTGTATTCACCAATAAAAATGCAAACCTCAGAAAATGTGTCAAGAAGCAAATATTCAACCCCACAACAAGTTTGTGAACAAAGATCACAGGATCTTCGGCAAGGTTCATTATGAAATTAGAAATTAGAGAATAGCTTGGTCGATGTCAGCAAATATCAAGTTATGGGTACACCTAATTTATGGTAATCGATTTATTTCCGATTAGCTGGTTCCCTATTAATCTTTTCACACAGATGCCTGGTTACTCAATGCGCACAGCTGTTACTAAAAGTAGACAACAAAGACGAAGAAATAAAACAAAACAAAACAACGGCGAGGAAGATAGGCCTTCGCGAAGAGAAGAGGAAACCTATGCGTGATGAAGAAATCTTTGCAAACTATTTTCGTGCGCTTCCTTGAGGCAGTATGACAATCACAATGGTTTCATTAAAAGGCTCAAATATCATTTTTGGAAACTTTCCTATTGTATTTGTCATTTTTTAATAAAGTCGTCCTATTTGATTGAGTTGTTACTTGACCAGGTGACTCAAGAACTCGTGAATTGGATTAACTCCCAATTAGAACAGTCGGCAACTGATGAGGTTAATGAAAACAAAGGTTACCTGAAGTGCATTGAAAGAAACAGCAAAAACAGTTCTAAGTTTCCATTGGGTGATATTCTCAGCTTACACAAATTCAGCGAAAACATCTTGACCTCCTGCCTTTATGATATTTAATGTAGCCGTTTACCAATGGTTGTTGCTGTTGTTTTTCCCCTGGCTGTCTGTGCTCTCCTTCACTTCAAACATATCGGATGAGGCCGTTTTAATCTTGCATTATAAGTGTTACACGAGCACATACGTTATTTTTTAAGGCTTTTCCAACCAGCCATTTTTTCATTCAATTTTTTTTCCGGCATTCCGGCTCTGGAAAGTTTCGACATTAATTACATTAAGGAAACTTATGCTTCCTTCTCACCTACAAGTTATTGATTTCGCATATTCCTTCCTTTGGACACAATGCACAAAAGCTAGCAACAGCGAAAGTGATCGAATCTGTGATAATAATAACATATTTATAGCCGGAGAGCGTGGCTTTTCACCTCTACTGTGGTTGCCAACTCATATCTTTGGTTTCCTGAGTAAATATAGCATGCAATTACTTTTGCAGGCCATCACGACCACCACGGTTTAAAACATGTGTTCATGTACTTCGTTCAAAAAGTAGAATTTTTGCTCCAACTAAACTCGAGCAGCTTCTATATACATAAGAATGCGTCGTATGTTTGTCCTTTACTGTTCATTCTAGCATTCTCGAAACATTCATCATCTAAGCTTTTCACGTCGTGAGATGTCGTGTTGTGTTACATTACGTGACCGCTTATTTTCGGTTGCTTATGCAACAAGATCGAGGTTTAGTTCAAAGTTTGAACGTCGTCCTTCTTGTTAAAGTGACGAGTAAATTTTCGGCTAAAACTTTCTGTAACCTCCAGTTGTGTGATTTTTGTCGTTTGGCGAACTATCCAACAGACCATGTCACCCTATCTAGTCTAATGTATTTTAGGTTACTTCCCAACTTCGCGGGTGTCCTTTGGGAAAAAATTCGTACGCGCACTAGTTTCACTATAATCCTAAGCAACTGTATATCAGAAGAAAGCTTGATAACTGCAGTTTACGATAAAAATATAATTCTATCGTAGATTTTAATTTGACACAGAGGAAGTGTCAGGAGCCGGTAAGGCGTGAAACGACCGAAGGTTCTTGTACTGAATTCATCGGCGGGGATCGGAAGCCGCAGCACGAGCAAAATGGCTGCACAGTCTTATTCACGAGGCATCAATCAACAAATGTGTAGCAAGCTTTTTCGATATTCTGATTGGTTGTCTAGATATCGACATCTAAAGTTGGAGTAGCTAAAAAATATGCGGGGCGTGTTGCGTAAATAGACGCCACGGGACAAATATTTCAAATATCATAATTTCCCGACATATTTCCGTTTGTCATTATTCCTTGTATGTTTTGGCAAAATTTGACGAAAATCGGTCAAATCTATACAGCCTATAAGTTCGCTCAAAGCGGTTGCATTCCTTCCAAAATCAAATGCGATATGTTCGCAAACAACCCACGCCACGCCAGGAGATTATCTCACCTCCTGAAACCGCAAACCAATGGGACAACAGGACCTCCTGGCGGAAATGACAATGGATCAAGATTTCCCGGGAAAAGTAACGCATTACAGGAAGGTTTTCCTTTTTAATCTCAATCGCCCAGTGGAGCGTTTTAGGGGACGACACAGTAATGAGCGAAGTTGTCAAAGGCAAAGGAGAAACCCACGGCAAGAATGGAAAAACCGGAAAATGTGCTAAGAAACAAGACAACGAATCGACATACAGCTTTCAAAATTACGATTCGTGGTGATTGTTAACGTTTTTGTATCGAGGCTGGTACCTGCATGAAAAAAAAGGGAACCTCGTCTTTAGCATCATGTATGGAAAATTTTGGTTTGACAGTGACTTCTTTGTTCGAAATCTGGACGCCAGCTTAGAGCTCCAGTCGCTTTCACAAAGGGATATTTTTCTTTTCTTGACAGAATGGTAACCTTTCTTTCTTCTTTGGGCTTGTTTTTTTTTCCTTCTTTTTTTTTTGCGAAGGACTTTCTTCCCCTTTTCACTTCTCCATGTTCAAAAATTTTTCCATAAACATAGAGCTTCCACGAGTGAATTTTGTAGCGCGATGTAAACAAAATATGGAAGTAACATGAGCCCCAATATGATCGTCTGCAGGGGATTCGCCCAAGTCCGAGATTATGACACCTTTCTGATTTATCAACTTTTACACGAAAATACGTTTTTCTGAATAGCTCTGGTGCTTTTAAAGATTTCAGAAAATTTTTTACGGAACGCTAAGTGGAATGTTTGAATTAAGTGTAGTCAAATTAAAGAAAAATCATGACCTCGAGAAAAGAAGAGGAAACTGCCGAAGGGAATGAGCCGGATGGAAAAGGCAATAAAGATAATCCGACTTGTGGAATACAATAAAAGAACTGTAAGCAGTTACGAGTCTGTGGCCATCAAGGTCATGATTTGCATCATCGAGTAACGTGTTTAACGATATCGTTTTTTTCCTTTTCATAATTTTTTAAAAAATTTTCTCCCATTTAAAGGGGATAATAAGTACAAAAATATTATAAAATAAAAATGTAGGTCACCGTGCTCGTTCAAAAGCTTAGAAGAATCGCATCGCTTTACCGGGTCCAGTTACTGAAAAACAATATCGTGTTCTCGAAATGCACGCATGATTACGTGTTTTTATGCGCAATACAGGATGCGCAGCGCAATAATAAGGAATCACCTTAATGCTGCTGAATGGGTGATTAGTAAAAGTTAAACTGAGTGGTAAAAGTAACTCGGTTGGATAAACCGAATTACTTTTACCACTAAATCTCTTTCAGAGAGGTATATTTCTCGTGTTTGTTTGTGCGTGAGAGAGTTTATATGCCTCTATAAATCGGTAATTCTAAGTTTAGGAAAAGAAAAAAAGGCTTGTGTGAGTTTCACAGAAAAGCGAAAATATTTAATGCACATTTGTCTTGATCCCTGATGAATTTCAGCTTGGGTAACCATTTGACCTCAAAGAATGACAAGCTTCCAACTTCTCCATGCAATATCACCCCTGCATCAAACATTAAGGTAAATTAAGAAAATGATCACCAATTGGGAGGCTCTTGATTGTTAGACAAATCCTCTTAGTCAGAGCCTTACGAAATGTATTAGGGAAAGTATTCGTAAACTTTGCCCCGTTTACTAGGGATAGAATTCTAACGAACTAGACTCAATCAAACTTTTTTATTCCATTCTCGTATTCGCTTCTTTACAACGGCTGTGTAAAAAGCTACTCTCTGCAAAATTTGTAAGAAATCACTCTCTTATACGATATCCTCTACATTGTGATTGGTTGTTGCCAAGTACTGATTTAAAAGGTCATTCAAGGTTGCGTTGATTATATAAACCGATCAATGTCCCAAAATCACTTAGGGCGGTGCTTCTAGCTCTTGCCACTCAGTCTCACCCACTTAAGTCTTGACATAATGTTCACACTCATCATCTGACATGTGTCGCGCACGAATCAAAGTCTCCGACAAGTATGGGGAATATACATACTGATGTTAGGATATATTAATACATCCTAGGATGTGTTAATACAACCTAACATCATACCAATGTTAAGATGTATAAACCAATGTTCATAGGTTTGGAGTCATTGTAAGATTTCATGTAAGGCGTGCTCCCATGAAGCGAGTTACCCTCCTCACTTAGGGAGCTACAACTATCACGAGACGGACTGAAGCATTTTTTACATGCGATACTGAATCAGGCACATTGCGTTACATTTATGCAGTTCCAAAAGCGAATAGTGAGCACAGGCACGGATCTAGGGGTGGGCTGGATGGGTTGCGCACCCTCACACCCCCCCTCCACCCCTCTTTTTAGGTGACCTGCGGCTTTCTTATATAGCTTCACGGTTATACAGAGTCTGCTGCATAGTTTCCTATGTATTCTCAGCAGTTCACAATGTTATTTTCTGGTCATACGACTACTACTACTTTTTTTTCCGCTTTAAAATCTGCTTCTGTCACCCGTCCGTTAAGTATTCCTTAGCAGTGCACCCTCTTTTAAGAAAACTCCTGAATCCACCTCTGAAGCGTGACTAAGGCAAGGATGAAACATACAAACGCAATGGTAATGGGGCCGATGTTATATCCCCTTTGCGTTTCCCTTTCCTTCCGTTTGCCAACGTAACAAACGCGGTATTTTAGCAAAATGAGTAAAGTTTGACAATTACGAGTGTAGGACGTGAGATCTTCAAATATTGCAATGAACTTAACCATTGAGACTGATCAAAACACACCAAAACTGACATGTTGCAAGCAATGCATACTTCGAGCGACCGCTTAATTAATAAAAGTAGAAGTGAAAAAAAGTGGATTACATGACAAAGACAAGCCCTGAAGTAGGGTAAAACGCATTCAAAATATTGCTGTTGTTACAACAATGAAGTTTTCTTCTGTGGAAAAAGGTGCACAAAGCGTGGACAAAATACGATTACGAAGCATAACAAAAAAAAAATTTAATGCCAGTCTTAAAGCTGATAGTGTGGAATTTTTGCGTATGCCATCATTACAGACGTATCCGCTGAATTACGATGATTTTTGGCTATCGCGGAAACTACTTCAAAGACGGTTTGCTTTTATAAAAGAATAGATATGTTTTGAGCACACTAAGCTGGGCCACTCCTTAGACCGCGACAACTTCTCTCTCCCGTTGTACGCCTTCCACAAATGTAAGCAGATCCTATCATTCATTTAAGGACCTTATCATTGTATCGTTGTCCAAAATAACTTCGCAGAAATAACTTT